GCCGAATCAAAAGTCTCATCGAAGAAAGCCTCGACATCACAATCAACAAAACCCTACTCTGGAGCGACTCACAAACAGTTATTTTGTGGATACGTTCGCATACAAGGGCGTATAAGCCGTACGTCGCCCATAGAATTGCCGAGATCCTTACCACGACTACGATAGATCAGTGGCGTTGGTTGCCTACTGCCATGAATGTGGCAGACGACGCAACACGCGCTCAGCCGAGTCTCGAGTTTTCACAGCACACACGCTGGTTTAAAGGACCAGATTTTCTACAACAAGCCGAGGAATGTTGGCCACGAGAAACCACCCTAACGCCAGACGAACGTGCCAACAAAGAAGAAACCAGCCGATGTTTGCTTGCCTGCAACACAGGTGAGACATTTATCACATTTACTAATTTTTCATCATTCTTGAAGTTGACGAGAACCGTCGCTTGGGTACTTCGATTTACCAACAACGCCAGAAAGAAGAATTGCAAAGACGGAGAACTAGGGTTTGATGAATTAACCGTAGCCGAAAAGTTGATATGCCGGATAGTCCAGAAGGAAGTGTACCCGCAAGAAATTGAACTCTTACACAGAAAGGAACCATTGTCAAAGAGATGTAGCCTTTATCCTCTCACTCCCTATTTGGATGATAGTGGATTGTTGCGGGTGTATGGGAGAATAGACGCTGCATATTGCTTACCACTCGCCGCCCGCCGTCCGATTATCCTGCCAGGAAGCCATTATGTCGCTGGACTAGTTGTAGCGGACCACCATCGAGAGCGACACCATCAAAACGACAACTTGGTAATGAACGAGATTCGCCAACGTTATTGGGTAACGGCCATACGCGGTACACTGAAGAACGTTAAGAGGCATTGCCCAGTTTGTATACATGAGAGAGCTAAACCAGCCGACCCATTAATGGGTCAATTGCCAAAAGATCGACTTACACCTTATGTTCGACCATTTTCCTACTGCGGAGTGGACTATTGTGGCCCATTTAACGTCGCTATCGGTCGCAGAAGGGAAAAACGGTGGATTGCGCTGTTCACCTGCCTGACAACCAGAGCAGTTCATCTTGAGTTGGCGGAAAACCTCTCAACCGATGCGTTTATACTGTGCCTTCGCAACTTTGTTAATCGGCGGGGCGTACCCATACGTATCCGTAGCGATAATGGTACGAATTTTGTTGGCGCCCAAAAGGAGATAAACCAGAGTGAAAGATTATTCGATTTCGACGCTATCGAACGCGAAATGTCCAGGCGCAAGATTGAATGGGTATTTAACTGTCCAGCTGACCCAAGTAGCGGAGGCTGTTGGGAGCGTCTGATTCAATGCACCAAGCGACTTCTACATCGAGTTTTGAAGGAAGAGGCGCC